GTGGATATCTTGCGATGTGTTGTTTGCTTGTGCATATGAACTTGTCATTATCAAGGAGAGGAATGAGATGGACAGCACACAATAGTAGGTGACGGTGACCGTGCTTGCATTATGGATCCACCACATGGCCAGCACATAGTGTCTTTCAATAAAAAAATACATTGTCCCTATATGTGTAGAGGGATGAGTGTAAAGCTAAGGAATCCGAATCAACCGGCACCGGACACATTAGACGAGCTGGGGGTTCAAAATTGTCCAATGCCCCCCTTCCTCTCGTGACCACGTCGCCGCCGCGGGCGACCGGCCGTGCCCCCGATGCCCCTTCCCCCTCCCCTTCCCTCCCTCCTTGCCGCCATCGCTGGCGTCCGGCGCACTGGCCATTCCCCTCTCAGGTCACGCTGACGCGGGGCGGTGTGGCACCGCGGGGTGCTCCTAGGCGGAGGCGGGGGACTCTTCATCGTGGTGGTGGGCGATCTACTGGGCGACGGCACTGCCGTTGGCGGCGGGGTGACGCGGCAGCGCGATCTGGTGGTGCCCGCTCGGTCTGGGCGGGTCGGCGGCGGGGAGGGTCGTCGGTGTGGCTTCCGGGAGGCAGGGGAGCGGCAATGGGCTGGCTGATGTTGGCGGCGCTGGTGCCGCCCTGCTGCAGCTTGGCCGGTGGGGTTTTGCGGGCCTGATTTGGGCCTCACCGGGCTAGGGGTGGCCTAGTACGCCATGTTGCTGCATCAGGACGGTGACCGCGACGCGACGGTGCCGGAGGCACGGGCCTCCCGCGTGACAGCGGTGGAGGTAGTTCCCTCCCGCGCGGATCTGGTGCCGCTGCTCCCGTCGCCTGGTGCCTCTCTCTCAATCCTCTTGGCCTCGTGGTGGTGATCTCAGTGAGGCAGCGTGGGTGGCGTCAAGACCGCGGTGGCGCACACTGGTGGGTGGCGAGGTGGCTGGTCGGCTTCGGCCCGGTTGAGCTATGGGATTTGGAGTGAGGGATTAATCCTTTGCCTGCTCCTCCGGCTCTGATGCAGTGACACCTGCGGGTGCCGCCATCCCTTCCTGGAGGGTGTCGGATATATACATCCCCAACTCCCTTTCCGTGTGCTAGGGGGAACCATAGGACACGTCCGGGCAGCAGCATCGTCGGCATCGCATCCCTTCTTGGAGGTGTTGCTTGGTACGCGGCGGATCAGAGCCTTGGTCTATGGTGGGTCGATTTCAGAGGGCGCAGCGGTGGCGGTCGTGCTTTGTCGAGTTGCCGTTGTTGGCATTTCTTTCTTCTTCTTTGTTCTTTCTCTTTTCTTTTGGGCTTGTTGTGCTTCTCGCCCGGGCATTGCTATGTTATCAATGTTGGTTGTTTTGTAATACAAAGCGGGGAAACCTTTTTTGGGTAAATTGTCCAATGTTTGCATGGTGCATTGAGAATAAGACTGCTCACAATGGGAGGGATCATATTAGTAGTATCATATATGATACTATCTTCACAATGCATACTATTATAGGTTAGTGTCATAATAATCTTATTTATTGTCATGCATGACACATACCAGTACATTAATTAATATGATATGCATCATATCAACAATCCTTTTTGTCTCATTTAATTGTGTGTCACCACGGCAAAAATGTCTAGTAGTTGGTCGTATATCCAATTCTGAGCCCGGACTCATCTGCACCCAATGAAGCGTAAATTCAAAACAAATACTAGAAAAATTCAAAAAAATTGCATGGAAGATGTTTGAATGTGTGAGGTCCGTGTCAATTTTCAACGCATTCGGACATCTAAGTAGCTCTCAGAAAAAAATCATCTCAAGAGTGCACAAATACAAAAATTTTTAACTGACTCTAAATTTGCCTTTTTAGACCTGCTCAGATGTTCGAATGCACTGAAATTTGGCACGGACATCACGCGCTCAAAAGCATCTTTTATCACACACAAATTCAGAATTTCTTGATTTTTTAAATATTTTTAGCGAATTTATTGTTCACTTCTGGGCTCATCTAAGCCAAGAGCCAAAACGTCGCTCTCAGTAGTTGGCATGCATTATACTACCTATGGTACTCACGGTGTAACAAGCTTAAGAGTGCATGCATGACCTGCAATTCCCTCCCTACCATCTTCATGGATTGAATGTGGTGTGGGATCAAGATCTTTAACTCAATAAGACTAAAATGCGGCTAATATAATGAAAATCGTAAAAAGTAGGATAGGCTGCTTCTTCCCATGCATATGCGCTTAGATGAGATATTAAGCACATTAAAAAAAATTAGCAACTAAATCCGCCAATGCTTAAGTGCTTAACTTGTTATAGTTAAACTCCCTCATTTAATGATTTAGCAACTAAACTCTTGCATGCATTGGTGAGCTTTCTTCATTTACGTGTTTTGCCTAGGTTCACGCACTTGGCATTATTTTTTTTAGTTACCTTGTCACATCAGATTTCGCCTATATGACAGCCTTAACACCGGTACAATGTGAAGCACTCGGAAGGGCAATAAATCGGAAGGAAGAGAGAGAGAGAGATAGAGAGAGTACTAGTTAAAATTTGTCACAAAATACGAGGATCAATAAACCAAGATGGAGCAAGCACTTCATCCTTACTATTTATGTAGTCAATCATCGATGTTATAAGTGCTACGTACTCAAGTGGCACTTAAGCCATCTCCAAAGCGGAGCCTCAAACTGTCTGCAACCATTCGGACCACGCGGTACAGATGTATTTTGCCATCCAACGCGGTCCTGTATTGGTCCGCGGAGCGGTCCGGATGTCCTTTTTCCCGCGAATTGGAAGCAAACAGGGGCGGGGGGCTTTGCGGGAGTCCTGACCGCCACCAAGTAGGACTCTAACACCCTGGCCCACACAAATTATCCCTTGCAGTCCCATTCTCTTCCACTCCGCCCTTGATCCCCTTACTTTGCATCCGCACCCTCCTCCTCCGACGTTGCCAATGTACCTATCTGTCTGCCGCCCAGGCATTGCTGGACGTCCACAGCCCCATCCACGCGTCGCTCGCCTTGTACAATGGCACCGTCCACCTAGTATCCACCCGCAACCAGGTACCCTCCGCCCCTTGTCGACGCCGTCCATGGCGGACGCCACGCCCGGCGAGTGTTCGGTCAAATGTCACTAAGCTTATTTTCAAACTTAATGTCGTTTTTTCAAAGTAAAAAAAGGATGGTGGGGTACTCGGTGAAGGAGAATGAGTAGTTGTGCGATGCTTGGTTGGCCATATCCGCGGACTTCATAGGCAGGAGAGGAAAGGGATCTTTTGGCAGCGCTTCATACATGGTTCGTTTCATGCTCGAAAGCACATTGCGCCCTATGACATGTACATCATTTGTGAATGTAGTGTCATGTCCTTAGCATATCAATGGTACACCATCCAAAGTTTTGTCACGAAGCATTGTGCATGGTTGATCAATTGCAGGCAATGTGGCCATTGCACGTGGTAACCATGGAGATCATAAGCTTTGCTTGCTCTACATGTTGTTTGATAGATTCATTCACTCATTGTTGTTCTACACGTTGGCTAGCTTGCGCGAGCTGTCGTGATGTACTACAAATCCAAAGGCAGACCATTCACGCACACACATTGTTACATGAAGCTCAAAGGGTAGTATGTGTGGAATAACATGATTCATCCATGAAAAACTTGTCGAACATCTGGTTAATCTTGTTAAATTTGTTGTATTGTTATACTAGACATATGTGCGTGCTATTTACGGATGATTTGTGCTATTTTTTTATCCGAATTTGATGAATTCCGTTGTGTTTGATGAAAATCGTCCGATTTGTGAAAATCCGGTTTAAAATGCATGGGGCTACAGTTGGATGGCCGGCTCTCGCATCGATGAACGAATACGGTGTACGATTTGAGGGTCAATATTGGAGATTTCTTTACCTACCACTTAGGTTAATTTTCTATTCTATATAGTATTCGGTAGGTGCATGCGCCCGAACAAACGCGTTAAAAGTATGTGCTTAGTTTTGACAATTTGACCTAATAAACAGAAACTACAAGTATATATAACTCCATTATTGGTGCCCGTCCCAAGGTCAAATGTGAGCCCAGCGAGCTGATCAGGACGGTACGAAGCGATAATATTGTTCATCTTGGCCCCCAAGGTCAATGTGTGACCGAACGCACCTAGAAAGGAACACAATTTTTTGCATCAGACAGAGAAAAATGTACTCAACATTACAAAAAAACGTTGCCTAGTGTGTCGCCGTACGCCGTGTGAAATAGCTGGAGTATGCCGACGGTTGTACAAAAAGAACTCGACAACAATAGCACGCTCGGCACACTAAAAATGACGGGCGTGGACACTTCCTCTGGCTGACGTGCGGGCCCGAAATGGCACTTCCTCTGCCTGTGTCCGTGGTTGGGAGGCCGACACGCGGACCTGAGGCGGACACCGAGAGGGCACGGACACAGGCAGACGAGCAGCAGCAAGTGAAGCAGCAACACGGGCAGAGATCCATCGACGGCAGGGGAGAAGCAGGGGAGTTCCAGGTTCAGTGGCGTCACGGGCATAGCTCAAGGTCCACGTATAGGCAATCCTGGTATAGGCAATCGAGACCAGACGCGCACGGGAGCTTGAGGAGGACGAGCTCCATCGGATCGTGGCGGCGCAGGTCCTGGGCGGCGGCGACGGAGCAGTTCCTGGACGACGCACCTCCTGGGCGGTGCAGGTGAAAGATTGACAACGGCGGCCCTAGCGACGCGCAGGCGATGCACGGAATCGCACAGGTCGGCAGCGCAGGTGCACGTGGGCAGCGCCACAGTTTCTGTTTACGCTGGTGGGCGGCGGCGGAATC